GATACAGTATACTTTATTGATGGTACATGATAAGGTAGGGCTCCTCAAGGCCCTCCCCTTCTTCAGGGGGTCTGGGATGGAAACTGGAGGTCAGGATATTCTCAAGTGTGTTGGGTACTGAACTGGGGCAAGGAATCCCCAGCAGCTGAGGGCCTCTCTCTTCTTCTTCCTCTTGCTGGGGCTGGTGATCCAGGGGGCTTTTACTCCTTGGAGGCCATGTGGACCATAAGATCCACCACCTGGTTGCTGTAGCCAAATTCATTGTCATACCAGGAAATGAGCTTGACAAAGTGGTCACTGAGCACAATGTCAGCCCCAGCGTCGAAGGTGGAAGAGTGGGTGTCACTGTTAAAGTCGCAGGAGATGACCTGGTCCTCAGCATAGCCCAGGATGCCCTTGAGGGGGCCCTCTGATGCCTGCTTCACCACCTTCTTGATGTCTTCGTATTTGGCAGCTTTCTCCAGGAAGCAGGTCAGATCCACGATGGACACATTGGGGGTGGGGACACAGAAGGCCATGCCAGTGAGCTTCCCATTCAGCTCAGGGATGACCTTGCCCACAGCCTTGGCAGCACCAGTAGAAACAGGAATGATGTTCTGGGCAGCCCCTCGGCCATCACGCCACAGCTTCCCAGAGGGGCCATCCATGTCTTCTGGGTGGCGGTGATGACCTGGACTGTGGTCATGAGTCCCTCCGCGATGCCACAGTGTTCATGGATGACCTTGGCCAGAGGGGCCAGGCAGGTGGTGGCGCAGGAGGCATTGCTGACAATCTTGAGGGAGTTGTCATACTGCTCATGGTTCACGCCCATCACAAACATGGGGGCATCAGCAGAAGGGGCAGAGATGATGACCCTCTTGGCCCCACCCCTCAAGTGAGCCCCAGCCTTCTCCATGGAGGCGAAGACCCCAGTGGACTCCACAACATACTCAGCACCAGCATCACCCCATTTGATGTTGGCGGGATCTCGCTCCTGGAAGATGGTGATGGGCTTTCCATGGATGACACGTTTCCCATTCTCAGCCTTGACTGTGCCGTGGAATTTGCTTTGGGTGGAATCATACTGGAACATGTAGACCATGTAGTTGAGGTCAATGAAGGGGTCATTGATGGTGACAATGCCCACTTTGCCAGAGTTAAAAGCAGCCCTGGTGACCAGGCGCCCCAATACGGCCAAATCCGTTGACTCCAACCTTCACCATCGTGTCTTGGGGACGCAGCTGGCACTGCACCAGAAGATGCGGCTGTCTGTCGAATGGGGAGGAGCAGAGAGCCGTGAAGTACTTTTTACGATTGCATTTTTTGTGAGAACTTACTAGATCATTGATTTTCCTTTATAATATTTATGACAATGTATAGGGGGAAAAAGAGTATACTAAGAGTAGGTTGTGTTAATACATATTTGTCAAATATGTGAAAATGAAGTCAAGTCTATCAGAAAGGATAGCTAGCCATAGCCTCTCATCCAGTTTCCAGACCTAAACCAGTTCAGAGGCCCAGAGCCCTTCAATTTAAGGGGAGGCTGGGTTCTCTTGAGGAAGGTCCCTGAAGCATTGCTGTAAATTTCCCTGTGGCCATTTTCTAGAATGAATGTGCATTGGGAAATAGAAACACCCAGACTTTTGGGGGATTATTAGATACTGGTTCTCAACTGATGCTAACTGCTAGGGACCCATATGTTGCTGGTCTGACATTCAAAGTGGAGATTTATGGTGGTCAGGTGATAAGTTGAGTTATAGGCTCAGTTTGAATCACAGTGGGCTCAGTGGGCCCATGAGCCCTCCTCCCCATGTTTTTCCCCCAGTTCCAGAATGTATTATTGTTAAAAACATATTAGGCAACAATATTAGCTCCCTACTTATGGACTAAGGTTCATTAGATTATGAAGAGTCAAGGGGAAGCTATTGGAATTCCTCCTCTCTACCAGGATGGTAAACCAAAAGAATAGGACGTGTTGGATTACAGAGACTACAATCATCATTAAACATTTGATTGATGCAGAAGTGTTGGTTCCTATTACATCTCAATTTAACTCATCTATTTGGTCTGTGCAGAGGCAGATGGACTTTAAAGCATGACTACATTATTTTAATGTTGATCAGAAGGTGACTCATTTGAAGCAGCCCTTCCAGATGTATTTCCTTTGCTGGAACAAATCCACACAGCTCCTTAAACGTAATATGGAAAATGCACCCCCCCATCACCATTTTTAGTGATTTGCTAGGACCACCAAAAGCAGTTTGTTTTTCCCTGACAGAGTCCACAGCACGACTTCACCATCTTGCTTCATGCTACGTCAGCTTACCTGCTCTTAGCCATAATATAGTCTGCAGAGATCTTGATCATCTTGACATTGCATAAAATATCACACTGACCCATGACATTGATGGAATTATGCAAATTGAATTTGATGAACAGGATGTAGCAAGTACTACAAATATCTTTGTGAAGCTTTATGAACCAGAGGGTGGGAAGATAGACCCTATGAAAATTCAGGGGTCTGCCACCTTAGTAAAGTTTCTGAGAGTCCAGTGATCTTTAGCATGTCAAAATAACCTCTTAGCGACACATTGCCACACCACAACCATGTATCACTCAACAAACAAACAAACAAACAAACAAAACAGTACATGGTGGGGGCGGTGCAGGGCACAAAATCTTGGTAGGCTATTTTGAGTATTGGAGGCAAAGCATGCCACATTTTAATATGTTACTTTGACCCAATTACTAAGTAACCCATAGCACTGAGAGTTTGAATGGAAACTAGAGCAAAATAAAGCTCTGTAGCAAATCTAGGCTGCACTGCAAGCTGTTTTTCTGCTTGGGCCACCAGATCCAATGATACTTGTGTCTGTAGCTGTAGTGCAGTCTCTGGCAAGTACCATAGAAGAATCATGGCACATACTTCTAAGGTTTTGAAGAAAATGCATATCCTCTTTTGCAGATAACGATTATCCTTTGACAGAGAGCCATAAGCTTATTTCTGGGTCCTGATAAAGAACTAGCCATAGGACATCAAATGACCAGGCAACCTGAACTTCCTGTAATTAACTGGATGTCATCTGCCCATTAAACCATGAGGTTGGACATGTCCGTGAAGTGGAAATGGTGCATAAGAGATCAGACTTAAGCAGGTCCATCATGTACAAGTAAGGTGCATGACTGAGTCTCTCACACTCCTCTGAAACCAAACTGTGCTGTATTGCATCCTTTCCCCCAACTCATGACCTCAAGGAATTTTGTTATGATCAGTTAACTGAAAAGGAAAAAAAACGAGCCTGGTTTATAGATGTTTTCACACTATATGCTGCCCCAAACCCAAAGTGCGTAAGTGCAACATTAAAGCCCCATTCACTGATGGCCCAGAAAGATGGCAATGAAGGGAAATTCCCCTATTGGCAGAACTTTGAACAATACATCTAGTTGTCCACTTTGGATTCCGAAATGGTCAGAACCATAGAACTGCACTGATCTATAGGCAGGTACTAATGGCTTAGCTAGATAGTTAAGGGTTTGGCAAGAATCAGATTGGAAGATTTGTGGGAAAGATGTCTGGGGAAGAGGTCTGTGAATAGACTTTTCAGAATGATCACAGAGTATAAAGATATTTATGTGTCAATTGAATGTCCATCAATAGGTATTTACTGTATAGGACGCTCTCAGTAATCAGGCGGACAAAGGTGCACTTTCTATAAATGTCAGCCTCTTCCCCTGCCAATTGAGTGCTTATTCGTTGGACTCATGAACAAAGTAGTTATGGTGGCAGCAATGGACACTATACATGGGCTTCAACAACATAGCTGACCTAGCTACCATTACTGTTGAGTACCTAACATGCCACAGACCAATACTGAGTCTTTAGTATGGCCCCATCCCTGGGGGAGTAGAGGGAAGGAACCAATGAGCTACTTGGTGGTAGGTTGATTACACTGTGTCCTTTCCATAGTGACAGGAATAGAAATGCATCCTTAGTGAAGCCAAGCCTATTCTGTATACGGATTTCCTTCTCTTTCCCATAATGCTTCTGCCAGCATTGCCTAACAAAATGCTTTAGTTGCCATCTTGGTATTCCACTGACAGTGCTTCTGGTCAAGGAATTTGTGGTATTAAATGATCTTGCTATATAAACATAATTATTTAGGGGCACTTGGATGGCTCAGTCAGTTAACCATCCAACTTCAGCTCAGGTCATGATCTCATAGTTGGTGAGTTTGAGCCTTGCGTCGGGCTTTGTGCTGACAGCTCAAAGCCTGGAGCCTGCTTTGGATTCTGTGTCTCCCTCTCTCTCTGCTCCTCCTTTACTCACAATCTGTCTCTCTCTGTCTCTCAAAAATAAATAAAAATGTTAAAAACATTAAACATAATAATTTACAGTGCCAATTTGGAGACAACACTTGTAAAGAATAGATATTCTCTTATAAGATGTAATATAAGCTTTGAATCAGAGACCAATGTATGGTTGCCTCTCCCATAACTAGAATACATGGGTACAAGAATTAAGGAACAGTAGAAGTAGCTCCTCCCACTGTCTCATAAACAACTCAGAGAATTTTTGCTTCCTTCTCCCCACAACTTTGAGCTCTGCTGGCTAGGAGGTCCTGTGTCCAAAGGAGGAATACCTCTACCAAGGACACAACAATAATTCCGTTGCTTTGGAAGATAATACTGACACCAGGTCAACTGGGGATTTCTTTCTTATGTTTCTGAACCAACAGGCAATGAAAAGAGTTACTCTACTGATGGAATGATTGATCCTAGTTTCCAAGAACAAACTGGATTGCTGTTATAGAATGAGAGTGGGAAGGACTATTTCTGCGATCTAGGAAAGTCTCTAAGATGCCTCTTAGTGTTTCTATGTCCAGTAGTCAATGTTAATAGAAACTACTACAAGCAAAGGGAGGCAGATCTGTGTATTCACAGACCTTCAAGAATGAAGGTTTTGTTACCCCACCAATGAAGGAACAAATTGAGATTCTGACTGAGGTCAAAGGAAATATGGAACAGGTGGTTGCAGTAGCCAGCCTCTAAGATAGTGCCCAAAGATGTTCACTTCCTGGAATTCATAAGCTGTATGTCCTCTTCCACACTGGACAGAGCTGACCTGTGTAAACATAGGATATTACTATTATGGAAGTGATGGTGTGTGACTTCTGAAGCTAGGTCATAAAAACATGATGGCTTCCATATTGTTTTCTTGGATTATTTGCTCTGGGGGGAAGCCAGTTCCCATGCTGCGAGGCTTTTTGAGTAGCCCTACCAAGAATTCCATGTGGAGAGGAGAGGATGTCTCCTGCAATCAGTCAGCATCACTTTATTAGCAGTGTGAGCGAGCCACTTAGAAGTAGGTCCTCTAGCCCTCCTCAAGCCTTCTGATGACAGCAGTCTAGCTAACACCTTGACTGTGATTTCACAGAGGGCAGAACCACTCAGTTAAGCCACTCCTGAATTCCTGGCCCACAGAACCTATGTGAGATAAACGTTTGTTGTTGTTGTAAGTCACTAAGTTTTGGAGTAATTTGTTATGCAGCAAAAGATAACTAATACAAGTGGAAGAAGGAAGTTTAAAATATCAACTATGGCCTTGTGACCAGTTACATAAATTATGTCTCTAATGGCAATGATTATTTTCTTCCTTGCTTGTTATATGCGTACATATCTATATCTATGTGTATTACACGTAAGTATATTAGTAATATATTAATGTAATATAAGTAATATAAATATAGGTGCTTATACATTATGTATGCATATACATTATATATGATAGTATCATATACTTACACATGCACACTTTTTTCTCTCTTCCTTTCCCTAGTTTATATGAGTGTTTTTGTTTCTCTTTTAAATTTTTTTTAAAGTTTATTTTATTTATTTTGAGAGAGCGAGAGAGAGAGCACAAGCGGGGGAGGATCAGAGAGAAAGAGAGACAGAATCCCAAGCAGGGTCTGCAACATCAGCACAGAGCCCAGTGCAGGGCTTGAACTCATGAACTGTGAGATCATGGCCTGAGCCGAGATCAAGAGTCAGATGTTTAACCGACTGTGCCACCCAGATACCCCTTTGTTTGTTTATTTGATGTTAACTTTACTGTTTAAC